ACCCTAGACCCCTAAACCCTAAACCCTAACCGCCTAAACCCCTAAACCCAAAACCCCTAAACCCTTAACCCCTAAACCCCTAAACCCTAAACCTCTAAACCTTAAACCCCCAAACCCCCAAACCCTAAATCCCTTAAACTATGTAGTTAAAGGTGATTTCTTGAGTTCAGGCCGGCGACCTCTGCTGGGACAAAATCCCAAAGCCTCAAACCCTCAAGGTTTAGGGTTTAGGGTTAAGGTTTAGGGTTTAGGGTTGAGGGTTCTATAAGAACGGTCCCCTTTAAGAGTACTATAAGGTTCTCTAATAAGGTCCCCTTTAAAGGTAGTATAGGGTTCAGAAAGGTCCCCCTCAAGGTGTCACTGGGAAGAGATGGGCTTAGGGTTTAGGGTTTTAGGGTTTAGGGTTCAGGGTTTAGGTTTAGGGCTCTAGGATTTTAGGGTTTAGGGAGGGTTCTACAAGAAAGGTGCCCGTTAAGGGTATTATAAGGTTCTCTAACAAGGTCCCCTTTAAAGGTAGTATAGGGTTCTATAAGAAAGGTCCACCTCAAGGTGTCACTGGGAAGAGATGAGTTTAGGGTTTAGGGTTTCAGGGTTTAGGGTTCATGGTTCAGGGTTTTGGGTGTTAGGGTTTCGGGTTCAGGGTTTAGGGTTTCAGGGTTTCAGGTTTTAGGGTTTGGGGTTTAGGGTTTCGGTTTTTAGAGTTTAGGGTTTAGGGTTTTAGGGTTTCGGGCTTTAGGGTTTAGGGTTTGGGGTTTAGGGTTTGGGGTTGGGGGTTTAGGGGTTTAGGACTTTGAGTTTGGGTTTAGGGGTTTAGGGTTTAGGGGTTTGAAGCTTTGGGTCCCTATGGCAACGGAGTTTGGGCTGGCCCTTGATGGGGAAGAGCTCGAAAAACCATCGATTTCGTCCATGCTCACTAACGTTCGGGTCTTCAACGAGCTCCACAGGAGCTATCGCGATTACGCAAGCCCTAGACCCTAAAGATCATGTGTGCAAAAGGTGCTGCCGGTGCACAGAAGCATTTCACTCACTTTTCTCCGGCTGCCAGCCGAAGCAGCATATCCCCGGGCGGGTCTTCCGCTGGGGTGCTTGCTGTGAACGCTTGTGAAACCTTCGTTAGCACTTGAGGGTTGGGGTCTGCGGACCTTGTGTCAGTCGGCGCCCGGGGGCAGCGTCGCCGGCTCCACCTCTCCCTGGCTATCGCCTGCTTTGCTTCCGATGAAATGCTCCCATGCTTTTGGTGGCCACTGGACATCCATCGGGACCTGAAGACCCCAGCCTAGCCCTGAAGCCCACCACCTCCAACTTCCAACTCAAACAGATCTCACATGTCGCTAACTACACTTCAAGTGTTTGCCAGTCCGATTCTCGTACATACTATTATAGCACATTATTAGAGTATAAAGTTATAATTATAGTGTATACTATAAAGCATCTTTGGCCATCGTACCATGTACAGCTGTAGTGTAAGCGCCTTAAAATTTAAGAATAGGGCTTTGGGGGTTCCTTGTTATAACTATAGTTTAATATACTCCGAAGCCTACTCTAATTATCAAGGCCCCTAAACCCTAAACTCTTAAAGTAGCCCTTATAGCACCCTATGAGGAACCCTGTAAAGGAACCCCCAAAACCTTATTCTAATTATTAAGGCGCCTATATTAGACACGTTTGCGTCTGTGGGCAGTCGAGAGCTGGGTGGGAGGCCTGGCGAAAAGAGACAAAGACTTCGAAGTTAGAGTTCAGGCTTCTATGGTACCCTAAACCCTAAACCCCAAACCCCTAAACCCTAAACCCTAAACCCCTCCCGTTTAGGGCTTAGGGGTTTAAGGGTTTAGGGGTTTGGGGGTGTAGGGGTTTACGGACTACAGAGATACCCTTCAGAAAACCTTCTGTTCATAGAGGGGCCTTTATAGAAGTAGCATCGGGTTTTTGGGGTTCCTTTAAATGTGTTCAAGACCTCATAGGGTGCTATAAGGACTACTATAAGCGTTTAGGGTTTAGGGGCCTTATTTTTGAGAATAGCGTTTTTGGGGTATGTTATTCTGTAACTATAGTCAGGAGCGCCCCAAAATAGCATAGGTATTTAGTAAGGCCCCTTTGTTACACACTTGTTTACACGGCGCTTGAGAAGACAGGCTTGCTCGTAGTACGAGGCTCGTATGCAAAAACCTAAACCACTATAGATCCCTTATATTAAAGGAAACTACAGGTGGGGAGTTTAGGGTATATAGGGCTTCTATAAGGCTTCTATAAGGTGTATAGACCTTCTATAAGGCTCCGAAAATGGTAACTACCCACCTCAAAATATCCTAGATTATAGAACCCTTTAAGGAACCCCCTTAAGGAAGCACCCTTTACAGGATCATGTTGTGGAAAGCTGCGACATGTAGGGCTCCTGGCTTACTGCAGCGCTACAAACCTAAACGTAAGCCCTAAACCTTAAACCCTAAACCCTAAACTTTAAGCCCCTAAACCCCTAAATCCTAAGCCCTAAACTTTAAGCCCCTAAGCCCCTAAACCCCTTAACCCTAAACCCTAAGCCCTAAACCCCTAAACATCTAAACCCCAAGCCCCGAAGTCTCAAACTGCAAAGGCGAAGACACTCCTGGGGATCCCCAAACCTACCGTCTTTTAAGGTCTCCTTTAAGGGCTCCTATAAGGGATCTATGGGGTTTAGGCTTTAAGGCTTAGGGTTTACCTGGAGTTTTATGGGTTCTACCCTCGGCTCTATTCAAGGGGTCGTACGGGTCAGAACCTAGTGGTAGTAGTAGTAGTAGTAGTAGTAGTACTATTTGGTAGGGGTTTGGGGTCACAGGCTGGATTCTACAGCTGCTGCCAAGAAAGAGCCTCGAAAGAGCTGAACAAGAGCCAGGATGCAGCATCGAGAAGCCAGAAACCGACGAAGAACAGGTGGCCCAACAAGCACAGGGAAGATCCCATAAAACTGTGCCAGCCACCACCATTCATGAAGCAGTCCTTGTAGCAATCGGCGTGCGCCGGCGGGCCGCATAAGTTTTCTGTGGCAGCTTGGAAGAAAGACCCCGAGGCGGCCAGTACGAGCATACCGGCCGCGGGCCCATTCGCAACGCCCCCCCGGATCCAAGAAGTTCTCGCCACGCCAGCCCACATGCAAGCCCAGTAGAAGTCAACGACACCCGCTGCAGACATAGCCACTGTAGTGCTGTGTTGGGAAAACAAGAAGAGACACGAGAGAACCCCTGGCAGAAACAAGAACGACATCAGCCATGACGTCAACCAGAGGATGTGCATCCCTTCCCAAACTACTTCCGCCAGTCCAGTGGCAAGTGTAAGCCAAAAGAACAGGGAAACCACCACCACGGCTCGGCCACCCAAAGCAAGAGCGAGGCCATCCCGCTGGTTGAAGGCAACATGCGCGACTCCCTCCAGTAGATAGCCGATGCCACGAAGTAGACAAGCGGCAGTCAAGGCTTTTCGAAGCTTTGGGGAAGCTGATACAGGCGCAAAGCGAAGCACCAGCGCTGTCAGCCACATGCCGATACCTTTGTGGACAAAGTACGAGCATCTCAATGCCCTCCAAAGCGTAATTCCTATCCCGAAAACCTAAACCCTAAACCCTAAAACCCTAAGCCCTAAACCCTAAAACCCTAAAGCCCTAAACCCTAAAAACCTAAACCCTAAAGCCCTAAACCTGGTGCCTCTAGGCCTAAAGCCACTTCGGCTGACCGGCTGCCGACAAGGAAGAAGGCAGCGCAGGTGCCTTCATGAGCCGCCGGGTGGATGTACGGATCCCGGACGACGGTCGAGGACAGGTGCAGCCCCACGACGCAGTCGGAGTCCATGTGTTCAGGGTGCAAGGTTTACCCCTAAACCCTAAACCGTTTAGGGCTTGTGGCATTTGGAGATTTCCGAAAATAGGGACCCTAATATGGCACCCTGAATAGTAGGATCCTTATTATAAAGGACCCCAAAAGAAGGTACCTTTGAGGGTAGTCTATGGCAGGAGCAGACAGGAGAGCCCTGGATCCAAAGGGCGACGCCGTTAACACAAAGAGAAAGGGCTTAGAGAGGAGGTGCTTGATTACGTGGTTGGGTGCATTGATCATTCGCCTTTAATAAAGCCCCACATGACCGCAAAAAAAACAAAAACACACACACACACACCAAAACCCCCAGTAAAACCCTAGACATCCATACAATGAACATATCACGTAGGACCCGGGACTGGGGATTTAGCTACTACAGTTCCATGGGTTCTCTAAGGGCCCACTAAAGGGTGTCATAGGGTAGGGTTTAGGGTTTAGGGTTTAGGGTTTCTATAGAGGTACTTAGTTAAAAAATCATGGGAGTTAAGAAACACAGGTATAGTACCTTAGTAGGTGATATCATTACAAAAAAACATAGCCAGCTTATCAATGACCCTAGCTACTAAGTCGCACGAACCTTTTGAGCAAGTCTTCCCCAAACCGTCTGACAGGTACATACTGTTGTAGCCTAAACCATGCGCCCTAAAACCTACCCTGGGGCTCCGCTCAGCATAGATGCATTAGCACGGAATTAGAGTAGGGTTTAGGGGGTATGTTATGGTATTACTTATAATTCCCATCCTTACATTAGCCAAACAATCATGGTCCCCTATAGCTCTCAACCTAACCATTTATGTATCTACCTATGTACATGCTTTATTTATATGTTGCGCTTTTGGGTTTAGAGGGCTTAGGGTTTGGATTTGTTGAGTGCTTCGGGGTTTAGTGGCGTTTCGGGTCTTTAATTGTTGACTCCGCATCACAATGCTGGCTCAGAACCGTAGTTTAGGGTATGGCGGTCAGTAAAAGGGTTGGTACACAGACACTCCAATACCCATTAACAAAGGAATATACCTTAAATCATATAAGGGATCCTACTATAATTTAAGGTATATTCCGTAATTAAGGGGTATTGAAATCTGTGGGTAGGCATTCAGTTTCAAAAAGCCTGTTAGACGGCAACATCTCGAAGGGTCACATGCGAACCCTAAATCAGAACCCGGCCGTTTTTGAACAAAACGGTCAGAAGTTGAAGGTGTATCGCTGCCATGGTACCCCATCGAAACCGAAACTAGAAATCAAATCCTAATCTCGAAAATCCACAACCCAACTAGAGTTTAGGGTCAAAACCTAATACACTCAACACCCCAGAGCAGAACATATCAGTGTATCCTGGGTACTGCCCCCATACAGTAACAGTCTACAATAGGGCGGCTATCAAGGGCCTTTTGTATCTATATCATTCTGTATCCTACATACTTTTCAACTGCTACTAAGAGAGGGCAGTATCCAAAGCAGATTCATCAGAAGTATGAACCGCTGTCCTTGCTGCTCAGCTTCAACGCTTATCAACCCCCCTCCATAAACCAGGATATACCCTAAACCTTAAACCCAAAAGCCTCAACCCTAAACAACTTATTATGCAGGTTTAGCATTCCTCGTAAACCTCGAGCCCGAAACGCTGCTCTATGAATCCCTGAAACACCCCACAGTCACAAAGCCACAATTAGCCCCACAAAACCTCCATAAAAAAATCGACAATAAGAGTTTAGGGCTTAGGGTTAGGGTT